ATTCATCTTGATGAGGCGAATCGAATGGTACCAAAATTATCTGATTCTGATTGATATATCACGTGATATTCGTCGTACAACTTACCTGCGCCAAATTAGGCATATCTACCTTATATATATCATACCTCAAATAAAAATTTGCCCGACAAGGAAAAACGCATAATCACAATACTTTGTATAATATAGATTAACTGATTCCTGACAAACTTGGCCAAGATACCCTTAATTAAATGATTACTATAATGATACTACAAATCCATACTGATAAAAGAAGGTAGAAAGCAATAAAATTTTATACACCATATTGGGACTATATAACAATGTTATATGTAGATTTTGTTCTGATATAAATACCAATAGCAATAGTTCACGGCTTTTAAAAATTAGCTTCATATTTAAATTATACCTATTAAGTTTGTGTGAATTAGTTAGAGAATATCAAATCCTACAAAATACTAATAGAAAAAGTAATATATACTTACGGATTTATGCTAATACAATTGATTAGTAAATATTAAATCATTAATTTTTAAAATTAAAAATAAATTTTATACTTACATTAAGAAAGGCAGCTTAATTCTTTCTATAAACAAAAAACATACAATAGAATACTAAACTAGTTGATAATTATTTACAAATCAAAATTGGTTGTTTATTCAAATTTTTGTCTATTTAGTACAAAACAACTAAACCAAAAAAAAAAAGCCAATTTTCTTAAAATTTTATCAGATTTTTTACAAGTAAGGGTATTGAAAATTCAAAATCAAATAAATCAGCAAGTTTACATTTTTCTATAGAGTTATCTGCAGGATGTTTTAGATCTACCAATAATTCATTAGATAAAATTTTCATTTCTTTTATTTTCAAAAACAACCTTTCTGCTTCTTTAGCACTTTCTTCTTTAGAAACAAGATCTTCAAACTATTCTCTAAGAACTGCTTTTCACCTATCACTAATATCTTAATTTGTACTTGATTCTGAGTCATCTACGGCAATTCTTTCTTCATTTTCATTACTAGTTTCTAATTCTACAATATTAGAACTTTTTTGTCCAATCTTAAGTTCTTAAGAATTTATTTGTTAGCATCTATGATCATAAGAACCAAATATAGTATTTGTGTTTATTAATATACTTTGCTCTAGTAACTTTGCTACTTCAATTGTATGGTTATAATTAATTTTGGCTTGCATTTGTGCTATTGAAAAATCCTTTTCAAACTAAAAGTAAAAATATTAGTATATCAACATATATACAGTCAAACCTCCATAAATGCAACATGTACAGACCAGCCTAAAATATGTATTTAAAGAGGTTTGCATTTAGAGGGAGCCAATCAAATTGCAGCTTTTAATATTTGATCTGCAGACTTGTGTAACAAACTTAAATACTGACTTCTGATTGGCTATGTGCACTTAGGGAGATTAGTATGATATAAAAAATCTTTTGAGTGAACGTGCATTTGCAGAATATAGAATGTGCATTTAGTACTAATGATTTCATATAGTTAAGACAAAAATGTGCATTTAGGGAGGTATTGCATTTATAGAGGTTGCATTTAGGGAGGTCCGACTGTATATATTTAGTAACCAGTTTTTTTTTAAAGATAAATTTTTATATACCGGTAACCTGTTATGCCACAAGTTATGAAAAAAGCCTATTACCGAAAATAGATATTCACATGACGCAGAATTGATACAAATCGAGAATAAACAGATTGCAAGCATGTTTAATTCTTTTGTAGCACCTGCAGAAAAAATTTCAATATTCCTAAATTTCGACAAAATTAAATGCCGTTTCATCATCAAATAGATATTCTTTCATTATAAATTTTGAAAATTCAGTTAATATTACGACTAGTAGTTTTCCAAACTATGCTTTGTAGTAATATTTTACCTATAAATCAACTTGAAGTAGATTTAGTGTAGAATGATTATTAAAAACTTTGCTACAGTATGCAGGATGAAAAAAAAAAAAAAAAGCAACAAAGGTTGTTCCCATTAACTCTATCGTGTCTCTAAATACTAAACTATAGTTTTACTAAAATTATCTGTTTAATTTTTATATAATTGTATAAAATATGCAAATGAATGTAAAACATCTGGTAACTGTGCAGCATCTTGCTGAAAATGATTTAATATTGCTGTAAAAGAAAGTAAATGTAATTCAAGTTCTTCTATTATTTGCTACTAATTATTATTATCTAAAAACCTGGCAATATTTTTTGGTAAATCTTGATACTGTAAATAAAGTGCCTATTTATTTATTTTTTTAGTATTAGTGTTAGTGTAAAATAAAATAATAAATTTAAATAAATATAAAGATATACATACTTTTAAGGCTCACTTATTATGAATTAATGAGGAAAAGCAAAAATAGTAACTATTCCAGTAAGTATTTGCAGGTTTTATAAGACAATAATATTTTTTATATAATTTTTTTGTTCTTCACACAATTTACTAATCTAGTAAGAATGTTTATTATCAGTAAAATATGCAATAAGATTAACAGCTTTTGTTGATACATCCTTATATTTAGGTGATAATTTAAAAATATTAGCGATATAAAAATTTGTTTGGTGGGCAAAACAGAAAATAAAAACCTGATCATATATTTCAATCGCATTTGATATTTAAATAAAAATTAAACTATTATTTTATTTATATTAATACATGTTTAATGAAATTTTAATCGTATTTACCTTGTAGCTATATATGTAGCTACACTATCTGTTACGATAGCAATAATTTTAATACTATTCATTTCAGCTCGTGTAAAAAAATTTTTAATCATTTTGATAACATCATTTATTTTACCACCTTTTACTGAAATATCTTCTGCGCTCCAAATTAAAACTTTTCTCTTACTAGTAATTAAAATACTTCCTAAAATTTCTTGAAAGCTAGCATTTTTCTATCCATCAAAAAAAAAGTATTACCAATTTTATGCTTTTTAGCTTCTACAATATGTTGCTGTTGCAATTTTTCACTATATGATGAAAGTATATATCCACTAAGAGCATGTCAACCAGGCAATATTAAATTTGAGTTTAAAAATTTAAAAAGTGAGATGATCTTAGGATTTTTAGTCTATCTAAATGCCCAACTATTGCTAATTGTAGATTTTAAAAGATGACGTTTAAAAACTATATATTCAGCTGAATTTAAGTCTTGAATAAGATAATTATCTATTAAATTTTTGATGGCTGTGACTTTGTACATTATATAGATGTTGTAGTTGTTTTAATAGTTTGTTCAGAAGATGTAGAAGTTAAACTTAAACTTGTTAATAAACTTGCAACTGAATTTGAAGATGAAGTTGTATTTACTTCTTGATTTTCATTATCTGATCCATAAAGAATTTCGTCTCTTTCTTCTTGAGTATATTTTTTAAAAAAATTTAGATATTTCTTTAAATGTATTTTAGTACAAGCTTTTGTATTAGTAAAGATAGATTTTTTAATTACAACATCTCTTCCTAATTTATCTATACAAAGTTTACAAACAGCAGCTTTGTTAACTTTATTTACATACATTTATAAAACTTCTACATATGGTGTGAGTCTATGGGGAGCTTTGCTACCAAAATATTGTTTCATAATAAGATGTTAAATGAACTTTAAATTAGGTTTGTACTACAAACTTTAATTATTTATAAACCTTCTAATTTTCTAAAAAAAGTAATTTTTCTATTGATGAATAGAATAATAGAATCTATTCTATTGATTCTATTGTTCTATTGATACCAATAGAATTTTCTATTGCCAACGCAATAGAATTTTTAATAAAATTAATAAAACTAATAGAAATTTTATTCTATTGATTATTCTAATTTTTATTCAATAAATCAATAGAATGACAACACTATATATAATATATATATATATTATATTGATTTTGATTAGCTAATAAATCTGATGTGGGGGAGGGGGTAGCTCTCTGATAAAAAAATATTATGTAATAAGTGCAACTACTCTTACAGAGTAGAGAACTATTAACAACTAACGAAGAAGATAAAGGGTAGAAAAGAGAAGTATTAAAAGATTAAGAGTTAAGTTACTTGCGGAAAAATATAAAGTAAAATAAAAAAAAGAAAAAAATATTAGAATAGAAATAGATAGTATAGTGTTTTTATGAAAGAAAGATATTTTAGATAGCCAAATAGAATTAGGATTAGATAAATTAGAATTAGGTAATAGTATAGCAGAAGGGTATTCAGATAAACTTAACTTAATGAAACTAAATCAAGACTTCTTCGAGGTTTACAAAACTTCTAAGTTAACTTGGTAAAAGCTTTTTAAACGGAGATTATAAAACTTTACCTAGTGCGGTAGACTACTTTTGGTATCTATAGAGACAGTCAAGTGATGTCAGGTCTAAATATTAAGCTTAATATTATGTAACTAGTTTTATATAATAATCTTAATAAAAGATTACTAGCAAGGTTGCCAAAAAAAAAAAATAAAAAATAAGTAAATACCTTATGTTTGCCTATTTCAACACAAATCTTATTTTTGTAACATCTAACAGTGGATGGCCTACTAACATATCATATAACTTCTGCTAAAAATGAGCACAAATATTTAAAAAACCTATTATAAGATGATTATAAAAAAAGAATATACATTTTCACTTTAAATTTCAGATACCAATTTTGTTAACCAATTAAATCTACAAAAGAGAAAAGTTAATAAAGAAATTTTTAAGAAAACAAAAAAAAGATTACATTCACTAATAAACAATTCTGATGCCCTCAATAAAATAACAAAGTAATCTAAAAAAAAAGTATTAGTTTCAAAAAAAAAAATTCAAAAAAGAAAATTTTACAATATTTTTACAAACCGGGTAATATCACAATCTGTAATAAGTATTTATATAAGTATAGCACAAAGTAAACTTGTAAATATTTAACTTCAAGAGAATTGTAATATTATATAGTTACAGCACAATTCTCTAAAAGTTATTTATTTGCTAATTCATTTTCCAGATACTATAATGCCAATATACTATTTCATCTACAGTACATTTTTTTGATAAAATATATATTTGGTATTATATGTTTTTGATAATCTTTTTCTTAGACAAGATATTTCCTTGACAATTATTTCTTTGACATATAATTCTAATCAACATTAGCTTTAAAATAATTATCTGAGAAATGCCCTGTCTAAGAAAAAGATTGTCAAAAACATATAATATTAAATATATATTTTTTTGAAAAAATATATTGTAATAGAAATAGCATGTCAGCATTATAGTATCAGGTAAATAAGTTGGTAAGTAAATAACTTTTGGGGAATTAAGTGACAACTATCTAAACTAGTAGATTCTAAACTAGTACTGGTAAGTGAATTTTAAACTAATAGGTACTAGCAAGTAAATTAATAGATCTCCTTTAATATAGGTGGGCATATATAAATTATTACAAAATTATAATATATAAAATCTAACTAATTTAAGTTAATTTAAATTTTAACCTTAATCTTAACTATAATAAGTTATAAAATTGCTTAAATTAGTTCAAAATACTTAATTTATATATATTATAATTACATAATAATTATATATATCTACCTATACTAAAGATCAATCTAATCGGTAAGTCATTTGAAGAAAATAATCCGCAAACACTAAGTAAATATGATGCAAATTAATTAATAAAAATTCTTCTTTAGAAATATGAAAATTTTTTATATAATATATATACAATTCAAAATTATTTAACTTGCTATATATAATAGAATTTTTAACTTATTACTTTAACTCTAGTTTAAATCTTACAAGCTAAAAACTAACCTACTTGAATTTAGAACCTATTTATTAGTATAGATCTTATTCATGAATTTTTTTTTTTTT